TCCTCACTGCATTGTGCCAAGTGTAAAGTTTGGTGGAGGGGGGATTATGGTGTGGGGTTGTTTTTCAGGGGGTAGGCTTGGCCCCTTAGTTCCAGTGAAGGGAACTCTTAAGGCATCAGCATACCAAGACATTTTGGACAGTTTCATGCTCCCAACTTTGTGGGAACAGTTTGGGGATGGCCCCTTCCTGATCCAACAGGACTGCGCACTAGTGCACAAAGCAAGGTCAATAAAGACATGGATGAGCAAGTTTGGGGTGGAGGAACTTGACTGGCCTGCACAGAGTCCTGATCTCAACCCGACAGAACACCTTCGGGATGAATTAGAGTGGAGACTGCGAGCCAGGCCTTCTCGTCCAACATCAGTACCTGACCTCACAAATGCACTTCTGGAAGAATGGTCAAACATTCTCATAGACACACTCCTGAACCTTGTGGACGCCTTCCCAGAAGAGTCAGAAGAGTTGAAGGTATTATAGCTGCAAAAGGTGGGCAAACTAAATATTGAACCCTACGGACTAAGACTGGGATGTCATTAAAGTTCATGTGCATGTAAAGGCAGGCGTCCCAATACTTTTGGCAATATAGTGTAATAAATTAATCTATAAAAGTTCTAAAATGTGAAATAAGTCCATATAATATCAGATACGGTGATACCAGTTCACTTCTTCCTTCACCAATTCACCCCGTGCTCCACACCACATATAGGGGTGCTCACCTTGTCATTTTGACCCAAACAAGCCAGGCAATTTCCTTCTTAACCAGGGGAAGGGACCCCCGGCTCCGATCTCTCTTAGTATGCAGACTTCTTAACGTTTTGACCCAAATAAACGGTCAACCCCACAAATCATTTCTTAGTTAGGGGAAGGAACCCCCGGCTCCAATCTTTCTGAGTGTATAAACTTCTTCAATATGTGATGTTGTTCACAGTTCACAATACCCAAGAAGAAAAAATATTTACCATAGCCCGTACCCTCCAAATAAAAGCACAATTTATGAAAAGTAAACTACTCCCATACAGTAAAAACACATGTTTCTCAGCATGGAATAAAGAGCAGAAAACGCTCACTGAAAATCCAAACACTGCAGCCGTTCAATAATCCCGGTCAGTGTGGTCAGATGCTGCGCCCTACGCGACTTCGCCAGGGGTCCAGAGCATCCGACGTACTGAGTGACATGTATAGCTATAAATCCTCTCCAGGTATAAAAATGATCATCAGGAATTAGCTATAAAACAATTGTGGACAAAATCTATTAAAGTGCCAGCTCTAAAAACCCAACTGTATCCTTTTTAGCCTCTGTTCTCCCTCCCTCCTTTTTTTTAAATTCTAGATGTCTCTTACCTGCTTCATGCCAACTCTGATTAAAGCTTGTGATGTGATCAGGGAGAGTTCCCCTTTAAGATCCAATGGTCTTCTCACATGGCTGAACCTAGGAAAACGTTAAGAGTTCAGTGGACAGCAGCGGTCTCTTCATGCTCCTCCCTCTGACCCTTTTTGGCGCAGCCTTGGCGTTATTTGGTTTGGTTGCATTCTATATTAGGTGGGCGCTTTATAGTTCTAGTCATTTGATTGAAGCCTGTGTCATGTGGCTGGGCGAATGTTGAGTAATGGATGTTTGATTAAGGTGATATTGATTTACAAAATGTATAGCTCATATACCAATAAAAACAGGCAGTGGTCCACTTGGATTCAAGTGGTCCACTTGGTTCAGTCCAAACTTGGTGGGACTTATACACTGAGTGGCCAGATTATCATGACCACCCCATCAGTACTTCGTTGGGCCACGAGATGACTCCACGAGATGACTTAGTTGGGCCGCATCGTGACTCCAGAAGGGCCAGAGTTTCCCACCCCTGCATGATATCCTCCTGACTGCGTATAACAAGATCACGTAACAGAGCCCTGTAGAAAAGCATACAAACAACTATGGGGCTCCGTGTTTGACACTGTTATAGATACCTAGGAGCTGGAGGACAGCTTGTGTTATCAGCATGAGTTCAGGCAATCAATGGAAGCATTTGCAAAACCTCAGTGACCTTTCACTTGTAATGCTGAAGGCTAGAACCAACTCCAGCCCTCCAGTTGTGGGGAAACTGCAAATCCCATCATGCCTCTGAGAAAAAGTAACTCTCATGCAGGAGGGGTCATCTTCAGCCCCCCAGCTGTTGCAAGGCACTGACAGCTACAGCCATGACTCCCAGAAGCAGAGGGATGATGGGATTTGTGGTTAAAGCACAACTGGAGGGCCGAGGTTGCCCGCCCCTGCTCTAATGGAAACCAAGCTTGTTCCAAACAGTGACTCAGAAAAATATTCACATTATCGGATCAGTATGAAGGATAGTCAGCTAGCATTGTAAAGTGAGGGACAACACTGAGAAGCAGCCGCCATATTCTCTCAGTGCAAGTTTCCATAGCTGCCAGCTGTCCCCTCCTTAGAGGGAATGTCTCTTTTTTGGAACCAAATCCCCTTTGTCTCTTTTTTTGTTTTTTTGGTTGGATGTATAGACCTCTACAAAGACCGGCAGTTATACTCAGGGCCGTCTTTAAGGTGGGGCAAAAGGAGCGTTTGCCCTGGGCCCAGTCATTGTTGTGGGGCCCTGTACCCCATAAACTAGTGCTGATGCTGTTTCTGGATCAGCTGACTCTGCTGCACTACCCCATCCTGACGCTAGAGGGCAGCAGCCTCCTGTCCCTATGTGCATCAACAATCACTGCAGACCAGGATGTCACCTCCCACTCCCGAAATA